CAAGGAGAAGTTTCATTTCACTCTGGTCCAATTCACATGACTCTTCAGCTGAGTTCAGGCTCTGGAGCAGCATTTGGCTCTTTCATCCCTCTGCTGCAGTTCCCTGACTGGCTCCATAATTGATAGGGCTTTTGGTTAGGACAGGTAGAGGAAAAAGGATGCCACACTAGGCGGAGACTCTATGGTGGGAGAACCAGACTTCCGGTCGGCTTCAGAATTAAATGGGAGGCTTCCGGTTAGGACCTTTGTGGCTCTTTGAGTGTTTAAGGTTGCCAACCCCCAGCTTAGTTGTTACCACACTACAATGGATAGTCTCTAAATCACAATTTCTACTTACTCTGCTAGATACAAGATAATCACCAGATAGTCATTGGGAGCAGGCTTGCAAGTGACAACATGTGCATGACCTCATCAAGCAAATGCTTCAATTTACAGACTGGTATCAAATTTGGGGATGCAGTATATAATGAATATGTGAAGTCGTGATGACAGTGGGGCTTATTATAGATGCCACCGACTCCCAGGTAGAAAAAAAACTTATCTGGGGGTACTTAAAAGATGTGGTTGAAGGAGAGGAAGTGCCAAAATTGCACACAAATTTGTGTTCAAAATCCCAAGCTAAAAGATTCTTCTGGGTCATCACAAATGTGAATTCTAAGAAAGTAGGTTAATAATCTTTGGATATATTTCCAATTTCTTCCCATTATTATTAAATTGTAATTTTCAAAGCCTTATATGGGACTTTTACAGTGAGACAATTAAAAATAAGAACACAAAGACAAACTGCTTTCCAAGTCTACAAAACTATAGAACAATATATGATCTTTTGGCTTGATGACCAATAATATATTACTGGTGATTGGGCAAGACTCTTGACATCAACATTATGAAAGGAACTGCCTTTTCATGAGCAGATGTCCTTAGATCTTTATCAAGCGTGGGTAATGCACTGCCTGAAAAGTGAACATGCTTTGGAATTAACTAAACTGCCTTTGAAAAACTTGCTTCAAAGGATTCTTGTACAGTGACTAAGTCTAAATCCTAGTGTGCAATATTAGTTGATTAAGACAAATCTTTAAACAGGATAATTTCCATCAGATGGGCACCAAGACTGGTTAAATCTGTAATGCATAACTAAATGCATATACTTTCAATGAGTCATTTAAATGTCATGTGGCATGCACACATACATAAGTGAGAAAACCTTAGTTCACATGTAATACAACTGCAGAATAAGCAAATCTTTTTTATTATTTTTACATCATTGCACTGTATTATGTGTTTTGGAATCACAGTTCTGTCATTATTTATCAAGAGATACATCTGCTTTAGTGTTGCCTGATGATTTCTATGCAACACTGGAATTTGTTATGGCTCCACAATCTTTAGAAACAAAAGGATGAACTAGACCAAACACAGATGCTTCATGGTCAAGAATTTCCCTTTATTCTAAAATCAACTAGAAACCCCCAAAGCTGCAGTAAAACCTGATGAAATAATGTTAAGCAAGACAATTTTCGCCTACTATCTCTTTGCAGTAAATATCCAGGCATTCCAATTTGTGGAGTTAAGTACATCATATAATGCATGTGTGTCTATATCTAAAAGAGAGAGAGAGACCAAGAAAAAAATATCATCTCTCATGTAACACTAAATTTGGCCCTTGCTCTCTCTCTTTAATATGCAAAATATCTATTTTCCTTGGTAGAATTCTTTGGTTTCTCTATGTAAATCAAGAACTTCCTTCCTTCTTTCCATCTATCCATCCAAAATTTCATTTAATTATTTCATATTACTTATCTCTCTTTCCCTGCAGTTCAGAGGCACAAACAATGCCTTACTGGGACACAGACCACAATTTTCATTTTATATTTAGGAGTGAGTTGATACTCAGTCTGTTATTTTCTTGTGGTCACAATTATTACATGGGAAGTTTGCATTTGACAATGCTACATTATTCAATTTTAAACAAGAAAACTGCCAAAATTGAATATTTACATTATTCAACATAGGCAAAAGACAAACAAAATTATCAACTAACATCAGGATATAAATTATGTTCTAAATACTTAGAAATTTTATCCACTCAACCACCTAGGAGAAAAGATTTTGTCAACTATCTTTAGTTGCTTAAGGAAGATTTTATTTGGCAAGATGCTCTGTAGAATTGGCACCAAACAAAATATATTCCTGCTTTTTTCTCCTATATACCAATTCTGCTTCCAGATATCTGGGATCATCAGAACTTCTCCAGCCCATAATCATATGAATGTTTATTTCAGTATTTCTCAACCTCAGCAATTTTAAAATGTATGTAAAATGTAAAATCCTAGGGATTTGAAATCCAGACATCTTAAAGCTTCTGAAGTTGAGAAATATTGGTTAATTTTACTGGCAGAGTGATTTACTCCCAGGTAAGCATACATAGAATGGCAATCTTGCAAAGAGTTCATACTAGGCTATGTTTTTAGGCAGCAGAATCAAAGTGGTGTAATACATTGCAAGCTAAAACCCAGTATTTTTCATTAAATCTAGAAAGTTAGTGGGAGTAATGAAAATTGAATGATGTTGATAGAACAACTCCATTTCCTTTGGACACCAAATGCATTATTTTGATTCAAACAGTTGCATTTTACTGAAATGCTTGCAATGATTTCATTTTTCATATCCAGAAAGAAACAATGATATATACAGATTCTGCATAATACTGTGACTACATAGTTAATTGGACTGGGATGAAAAACCTGGTTCCGAAGTTACTTGCCCTTGAAAATCTGGCCACTCTACAATTCCTGCAGCCATATAATTGCAGCCCAGGCACTTGTGCTTGATTCCTGATTATGACATTGCAGCAAGTCACAGTTATATGATAGTAATTTCTGACACTATTTCATAAGCAAAGTCAATGGGAAAGCCAACAGGAAATCATACTTACACAAGATTTTTGCTTAACAACCCACCACATTTCTTGCATAATCATAGCAACTGGGACTACTACAGCTAAGTACTGCAACCATGAGGCATTGTATTTTACAAAGCAAATGTATTTCCAATTGCCAGAGGCCATGTGTCAACCTATTAAACCGTAACAAGGACTCAGATGTATTTTACCAGATCATTAAAGGTCCAAGAAGAACCAATCAGAGGAGAGGGGATAAGCATATTTTGCATAGACTTGATACCCACCTTTGTTGGCACAAGCCATCCATTTGAGATTATCTGCAAAGGCAGCTTCTCTTCCTATCAGGTAGGTGAAAATGCGAACCTGAAAATATAATAGCAGAACTTCATTTACTGGAAACACTTTATATAAACTTTGTATTAAGCAGGTTATAGCACCAGATAAAAATACCGAAGAATTGCAAACACATTCTATTGGAATTTTCTTCTGAGCTGAATGAGCAATAATTTCACACACCTACAGATTTTGGTCTCTCTGTCTCACACACAAACACATACAATCTTGGCATTTTCTAGAATTATAAGCAAATATAAAATGAAAAGGTTTCATTTTGGAAGTTTAATGTGAAATCACACAATTGAAAATATAGTACTTTGCTCTGAACCCAAGCTTGCATTTAATTACTGTAGTATCACAAAAGTCTACTGCCTTTGCAGAAACATGAGGTAAGCTACTGGGAAAGCGTCTATCTCTCAAATGCAGTAATTCAGATTTCCCACAATAATGATAAATTATTTCAATCAAAAGAGCTGTCCAACACTGACTGTTTGTGAGAGGTTCATAAAGTCAAATCTTAATTCATTCATACCCAATTACATGAGAAAATAGTTGGAAACATAAAATTCAATTTGCAGTCCAAGGAAAATTCAGGTTATAAGCATTTCAGTTCATTAAAAATGACAATTTTTTGTGGTTGTTACTTATCCCTGATAATCATTTACTTGGGGAAATACTCAAGAGTATTCAACCAGAGCCTTCTAACTCTACCTTCCCAAGGAAACCAGGAAAATCACCACCAGAGACAATATTTTTACCTGGGTTGATTATTTTGTTTTATTTTTTCCATGTAGTTTTAATGCAAAGTTTTTAAAAAGCAAGTGGCCTAAACCCATTTGGAAAAAATGAAAAGAACTGGTGAGCCAAATCATCTTAATTTTACGAGTAATTGTAACAACAGAGTCTTTTTCCTCCAATAAAGAAGGCAAAGACACCCTAGTCACTTCAGTCTAAGAACTATGCATAAATTCAGCACTGATAGCTAAATTGGGCAAAAGATTTCCAACAGAAATAACCAGTTCTGCTCTGGACTTTCATCTTGAAGATTCCCCCCCCCCACCACCACAAGGCTTTCCTGCCCACATGGCAATTCGTGTGCACCCCCATACCATTCTTGATCACACCACCTCTTGTGGACCATCCAAAACCTGTATGGCAGCTTTAGCACAGGCCCAAAACTTGCCTGTCCCCCTTCCCAACCCTCATTGCCCCCCATACACCATTCCTAACTCGTGCGGCACCTCTTATCTGTGATGGTCAGGTACCCTTATCCAGTTGCACTGCACTCTCTCTTCCTTCCTTGGCCCATGTGTCACTGCTTGCATGCCATTAAGACCCCACAGACCCCTAGTGACCCACATTACCCTAGCAACACCCTATGGCTTTTGAGACTGGGTTCTGCCCTTAAAGATAGGAATCCAACACTGACTTCAATCCTAACTCTTTCTAGCTGTTTTTCAGCCTGGACAATCCTAAACCTAGAAAGCTCCCCACCCCATTGGTATACCCACCAAACTCCTGTATTGTTCCCAATTCATTACACTGAAAGGGAAAGACTGTTGTTCTTGTTGTTTTTAAATAAGAATAAAAGAAAATCGGGGGTGTGTGTGCGCTAATATTGTTTTTCCTACTTCTGTGCTGCTGAAACTAAGTGTCTAGGGACATTCTAGACTTCTTCAGAGTCCCCATCCATGTACTCTAATCACTGGCTAGGTTTAAATTCAAACAGAAGAAAAAAGGATTAGGATGGCAAGAAAAAGGTAGATAAAGAGATACAGAGATAAAGTAGATGTCCATCTTAGTAATTTTGAAACATATCAATTAGAAGTCAAAACAAATGTCCTGCGATGAGGAGAATTAATTCTTAGTCCTTCTGATCAGCAGGCTTATTCACTTGTCTAACATAGATATTCCATGTGCAGAGCATTACCCAACATCAATTTGGGTGCTGCCAACTGAGGTAGCAGCATCCTGTCCCAGGTTGCAGACTAGTATATTATTTCCTGTAGCCAATTAAAATCTGAAGTGCTTTTCCTGGCCTATGAGTCAGTTTTTCATTACTTACTGCAGCTGTTACAAAGAATCAGAGAGCTAATCAACCAATGTCAAATCAAGAGGTGCTTTAAGAGAGCTGAAAATCTTGCCCAACAGCAGCCAGATGGGCATGAAAACTTCTACCGCTATTTCTGGTTTTAAAAAGCAATGAGGCTCACTAGAAATATCCATCATATTGCGCTAAAGAAATGAGTCTGCCTAGTCCATCCATAAGTGGTGGCATATATAGAATATATAGCCCCATTTCTCATTTCTCAAAATAATATCTCATGTTGATGGGCAACATGGATGGCTATAATAGTTATTCTAAGTTTCATAGGGCCTCTAGGAAGAGAAGAAACACACCTTTTTTACCTCAGGAGTGAGCATAGCAGGAATAAATCAACAATAATGCAAACCTCTTTATTGAACTGTCTACCACAGGGGTCACCAACTACCAGGCCATGGATCACTATAGGATCTTAAGCCGTTCAGAACCAGACCGTAGAAGTGGCGGGCGGACGCACATGCACACATACCCACTTCCACAAGCAGTGAGTAAGCACATGTGCTCACACTGCATTTGCAAGAGTGGCAGGTACGTGTGCCCACGCTTGTGTGAATGGAGCTGCATGCATGCATGCGCTTACCTGCCGCTCACACATAACCATCCCACGCCAGTCCGCAAAGCTGGAAAGGTTGGAGAACTCTGACCTATCCCAAGAGATCTGCTTTTTTTTAATATCCTTTCAGAGTAATCCACATATATTTGCTCTATGTTTGGTTTGATTCAGCTTAACTGCTCACCTAAGCACAACTACACTATTGTAAGCAAAATGTTTAATCTCAAAAAGAGAAGGAAATAGTACCATCAGATTTATATCCAGCCTCAGTACATAAATTGTCACCAGTGCTTATCTCAGAAAAGAATGTGCCGAAATACATTCTAAATAGAAAACAAATCAATCGGAGAGATTTATGGCTAATGGTTTTCTTTAAGTTACACATAATCAAACAGCCATGTCCATAATAGAAGTAGAATAGGCTGAGCTGTAGCACAGAGAAAGATGGCCTAATGTGGCATTGGGCCAAAGTAACAGAGAAACTGAATTCAGTCTACTGAAGATCAATATGAAAAAAGGGCAAGGGAAACCGTTTTCTCCTTCTGTCATATATGCATGTACATGTGTATCTGTGTCTGTACCCACAAATTCCTGTGCAAATATTGAATTCCAGAAATGATGGGACATTTATTTTTATTTATCACAAATATATTGCATATTGTTTATGATATAGAAAACGACACATCAGAATTCCCAGTCTTACTTCAGGTAGTCCATTGTACAATGATTGCTTAACCATTTTTCAGAATTAAGCCTTTGGAGGCAACATGCCAACTTCCCAGAATTACAGACTTTCACCAAGCCACTTTTCAAAGTAGAAACCGCAACATGAATTGCCATTATAACTTCCATCACGATATAAACTTTTTTTTCTGGATAGGTTCCTGTTTGCTTACTGATCTTCTATTTGAATTTAACTAGATTCTGTGAAAATAATTTAGACTAACAGGGCTCTTTACTTACTCTGATTTATAAACAAACCTAATATCTACCTCTGCTATTAGAATGGGAGCTTTCATTATTTGAAACAGAAAGGAACATGTAAAAAGAAAAGAGGAAAAAAAACCCAAGGAATGTAATGTAAGTATTAATATATTAAGTAACTAACTTAACTAACTTAATATATTAACAAAACTGCTACCATTTTTTCAATAAAATATGTATTCTCATATTTCATATTTCACAAATTCCTTGTGTGTCCAATCACACTTGGCCAATAAAGAATATTCTATTCTATAACCCTTTACCTTATCCACAAATGATAGCATTAATAAAGCACAGTCGTAGATCATTTTACCCTTGCCTTTCATTTTAGAATAAACCAAGATATAAACCAGTTCATTGGTCACCTTTAATTATAGACCAGACTGATCAGCTAATCAGAAGTTTCTTAGTTCTGAAGTGATGAGAAGCGAAACATCTTCAAAGAAAAACCAGAAAGTCCAGTTGCCTCTTGGGGTATATGGGCTAAGCAAGTATTTCATGGTATGGGACTGGGCTATCTGAGGAACTTACAAATTAGCACACTCTGGGCGAGTAGATGTTTTCTGTCCCAAGCCTCTAATATATACTGATGCAGACTTGGCTGTCTGCCACAACTAAGGAAGGAGATAAGCAACCCCTTGGCTAGGAGCCCAGAAAATTATCTCTATGAAAACAAGGCTTGAACTCACAAAATTCTTTCGCTACGCCTGGATTAGTAAACTGTTGTTTCCTGCAAAATTCCCCTCCCGTCACCCCACCTATAAGCTCTCTGGGAGGGGCCAATCAGTAGCCACCTGTTCCTATTTCCTTCTGTGAGACTTTTTCCAAAGCTGCTCCTCTCAGCCCTATGCATATGTCAGGGACAGCCTCCCTCTGTTCTTCCTCGCTGCTCCCTGACTCAGACACCATCTAGTGGCCAACAGGCCTCTCTAGTCCCTGCTCTGACTCCAAACACCCCCCAGAGTCTTCTTTAGCCTCCAGGGCAGTCCCATAGTATTCATCACTGTCAGATTCCAGCAACAGCTCAATCAGCTGCTGTTGGGCCACAACAAGATGTTGCCTTAAATAAATATAGCCACTTTATGACTTGTGGACTTCAACTCCCTGAATTCCTGAAGTCCACAGGTTGCCACCTTAAATAAAACCAGTAGAATAATTACTGGATGTCTGAAATATATTTCCATAGGCAAGTCTACCATTTAACCAGTATTGCCTCTCTCTCCTCCCCCTGCCCTGTTCATACAGAAGCAGCACCATACAAAGAGAGCCTTAAATCACTAACTTCCTAACAGCACCATTTCCACAGCTTCTGATTAGTTCCCCGGAGCTTAAAACTTAAGAAAGTTTCCATAGCTCAACATAAGACTTTGATAAATTTAAAAGTAG